TACAATTATTTCAATGTATGCCGTTGTGTATATAGGTAAATAACAATAAAGGTTATCTTATATTATCCAGATCTGGATGAAGAACGCACACACAAAAACATACACAGGTGCCTTTCGGAGCACTGGGACAGTGGTCCAATTTCATGGCAGGTTATAGTATTCTTTTACAATTTTTTTTTGCCAATTTCCAGCCCTTTTTTTGGCAAAAAAACACCGGTAGGAATACATTGATTCACTTAACGACCGCTGCTAAAATAGTCCAGTCATGTGGGCGCCTTGACTCGTGATTTATGATGGATATTCTGGGCTTCGATACGGTTGTAAGTTGAGTATTACTTGGGATCACAGGGGAAACATTATTTTACTAGTGTATGAAAGTCTCAACTTACACCTGTTCAAAGTTATAACCACACTGAAAAAAGTGACTTATAACCACATTGAAAAAAGTGACTTATGGTCGTTTTTCACGCTTACGGCCGTTGCAGCATCCTCACGATCACGTGATCAAAATTCAGATGCTTGGCAACTGGCATGTACTTATGACTGTTGCAGCATCGCAAGGTCATATGATCCCCTCTTGCAACCTTCTGCCAAGCAAAGTCAATGGGGAAGCCAGGTTCACTTAACAACCATGTGACTAACAGCGATTCACTTAGCAACTGTGGCAAGAAAGACAGTAAAATGGGGCAAAACTCACTTAACAAATGTCTCAATTAGCAACATATGGGCCCTATCGTGGTCATAAATCGAGTAATAAAGTAAGTAAGAGCAAAACTTGAAAAAGCAACCATGGAAAACAAATTCCTCCATGGCCTCTTAGTTCAGCACAAGCGTCATCATGTGCTGCCCCCTGCTGGAAACAGGGTGTAACTTTAGCACAGGTAGCTTATCTCAATTATTCTTAAACTAAATGTAATTTTCGCCTTATAACCATTCGTTTGGTGGGCGTTCAATATTACAATGGCACTGAAAAAAGTGACTTATGACCGTTTCTCACGCTTACGACCATTGCATCATCCTTGCGGTCATGTGATCAAATTTCAGATGCTCGGCAACTAACTCATATTTATGACGGTCGCAGTGTCCCGGGGTCACGTGACTCCCCTTTTGTGACCTTCTGACAAGCCAAGTCAACGGGGAAGACGGGTTCGCTTAACAACCATGTGGCTAACTTGACAACTGCAGTGATTCACTTAACGATGGTACGAAAGGTCATAAAATGGGGCAAAACTCATTTAACAGCATAAATGCTTAGCAATGGAAAATTTGGAAGTTGTGGTCATAACTCGAGGACTACCTGCAGTGAATTCTTCACCATCATCCCCTGACAGGTTCTTGGTGTGAGCTGAGTGCGAGAGAAGATGCGGGAGCAGATTGGCAGCCTTCCAACAATTCCAAATAGGTCAGCCACTTACCTGGGCCAGGCTAGGATTTTTAGAAATGGGTCAAACTAGGCATCCAGGATTGCAGTTTTTTTTTCCAGATCCTGGAGAAAAAATTTAAAAAAAATGGCTAATCAAATAATTTTTTCTATGAAAGGGGGATGAATTGGATGACCTCAAGGGTCATTCTTCCAGCCCCTCACTGGATTAATTGATTTGGGGGATATTTTGGGGGTGACCATCTGCGGACCACCAAAATTTTCTCACGGGCCACCAGTGGTCCCCGGCCCATTGATTGGTGACCACTGCTCCAAAGTACTGGTAATCTTTGATCTACAACTATGTTTAATGACAGTTTGAAGTTTCAACTGTCCTGAAAAAAGGTGAATTATGACCGTTTGCTCACACTTAAGACCGTTGCGGCCTCCCCGTGGTCACATGACCAAAATTCAACTGCTTGTAACCTGAACTCCCTTCATCCCAGCGGGTCGTGAGAATGCAGTACAGGAAAAGGATCCGTGGCTGGGACCGGGTTGGCTGCTCGCAAATGCGGCTCTTTAGCGGAAGAAAGACACGTGATGACTCCAGACAAGGCCGAGGACGGCCAGATTTTTCTTTCCCGCCGGGGGCCACTCACCTCTCGAGTCATACTGCCCCGTTCAGACGACAAGCGTGCTGGCTCGGGGCTGGAGCACAAGCCGGCCTGCTTTAAACAGCGCCCCGTCTGCCAGAGCCATAGGACACCCGAGGCAGCGCCGGCTCGTTTATTTTCAACACCGGAGCCGGTTAGGAGAGCCCCGTGCACGCTCAAAGGTGCACGTGTGAATGCAACCAGCCTTCCTCCCTCTGTCTCCCGGGTCGGCCAGGCAGCGACCACTCGCAGCAGATGCAGCCGATGCAGACCCTGCAAACGCCGCGGCTCCCGGTGCGCAATTGCGCGCACATCCAGGCCATGGAAACGGGGCCTCTGGAGCCCAGAGATGGCGTGCAGACCCACCGGGGAAGAGGGGGGCAGCTTGGGACGCCCCGTCCGGAGAGGAAAGGGCCAGTCCCGGGACTGAAGAGCCGCCTCTGCTGCCTGCTGGAAGCGCGCAAAACGTGGCGCAGCGAACGTTTGCAAAGGGTGTTTTGCAACGCGCGAGTTCGAGATGGTGACGGGTGTTTTTGGAGAGGGGGCTCCGAAGCTTTCTTTCTCCCTCCCCCCTTCTTCTCTACCCCCTCTCTTCCCTCCTTCTCTCTTTTTTGTTTCTTCCTTCCTTCTTTCCCTCCCTCATTTTTTCTCTCCCTCCCTCCCTTTCTTTCCCTTCTTCCTTCCTTTTCTTTCCTTCCTTTTTTTGTTCCTTCCTTCTCTTTCTTTCCAGTTTCCTTTTCTTCTCCACCCCCGCCCCCCCTGAAAGTTTGCAAAGTTTTGCCCTTATAAAGCCTGGGATGCTTAAAGCCACTTCAGGCACATGTGCGTCCACCCCAGCTCTCTATCTCTCCTCTCTCTTCCTTCCCCCTGAAATAAAGGAAAAGGGAAGGAAATCTTGGGAAATACGATTTCTGCAAGAAAAAGGAATTTTTTACGGGATTCCCAAGATTATGAGGTTCCCAAGATTGCAATGAGCTTAAAAGTTTTAAAGCAAAATTGGGCTGGGATTCGAAGCAATTAGAGAAACTTAAATTGCATTTAGGCATGCATTTATTTAGGATAATGCAAGCGTATAATAGCTGGAACTTGCATTGGAAGCAAGAAAAATGTTTATTTTGGAATTAGCAGCATGACACAATTCAACCGAAGAGGCTTTGCTATGCAGGTAGTCCTCAACTTACAACCATTTGTTTAGTGACCAAAGTTACAACAGCACTGAAAAAAAGGCACTTAGGGCCATTTTTCACACTTATGACCATTGTGGCCCCATGGTCACATCATCAAATTTTGGATGCTTGACAACTATGATGGTTGCAGTGGCCTGGGATCAGGTGATTCCCTTGTCCTACCTTCTGGAAAGCAAAGTCAATGGGAAAGCCACTCACTTAACGACCATGTGGTTTACTTAACAACTGCAGCGATACACTTAACGACTGTGGCCAGAGTCATAAAATGGGGGGGAACTCAATTAAAAATTCATGTGACCAGATGATTCTGCTATGGTCATAAGTGTGAAAAATTGAGTGTCATAAATCACTTCATATCAGCATTGATGTAACATCTAATGGTAAATAAATGAATGGTCGTAAGTCAAGGACTACCTGCATATAAATCTTCGCAACCTGCTGTGGCTTATCTGAACCCCTTTTCAAGTGGGGTACTGGTTGAATTAGTTACAGAATGCCCCCCAAGTGAGTTTTGATCAATTCAAAACATAACAAATATATCCTCTGAATAGTTTGGAGTGTTTCTGTTAATGCAAATAAAAATTATTTTAAAAATAATTTAAATTGTAAAAGTAATTTTTAAAAAATGAAAAAAAATTTTTTAAATAAAAATAATTAAAAAAAAATAAAAATATAAAGAAATCAACTTTTTTAAATTAAAAAAAAATTAAAAATATATATTTTAAAAAATTTATAGTAAAAATAATTTAAAAACATTTGATATATAATTTTAAGCATGCTGGCTAGGGATTTCTGGGTGTTGGAAGTCCACAATTTTTAAATCTGTTTTAAAATAAATTTTAAAAATAGCTCTACTTAAAATTTTAAAAGTACTTTTAAAAAATGAAAAACTAATTTTACATTTTAAAAAAATAAAAATAATTTAAAAATAAAAAATTGTAAAAAAACCAAAACTTTTAAAATAAAAAATATTTTTTTAAAAATAGTTTTTTAAAAAATTTACAATAAAAAATAATAATTAAAAAATGCTATATAATTTTAAGCATGCTGATTTGGGGATTTCTGAGAGTTGGAAGTCCATCCAATCTTCCAGTGGACAACATTGATGTAAAACTGTGACATTTGTGTGGTAAGAGCACAATGCCTAATGTTTTATTAGCCCTTTCTAGCATAATCTTGAAGGGTCACAGAAGACAAATTGCTGCTGATTTAAATTCCAGTGGGGCATTTTGGAGATGGACAGGCTGTCTGGTTCTCTGAGTGTGTGTGTGTTGTGTGGGTATGTGTGTATTTTCTGCTGTGCATCACAAGGCCAGAATGCAGAATATTTGCCTGCTGGTGGGTAGTAGGCTGCCTCTCTTAATAACAGTGGGAACATTACTTAAGGGCACCGATGCAGAATTCATTTTAATGAGAATAGACAGCCTTCAATATATATATATATATTTAAATATATAGAGAGCGAGATTTTGGAGGCCCCTTCCAACTCTGTTTTTCTGTATTTTATGTGTTCTCTGATCAAGGATAGGTTAGAAGATCTATTGTGGTCTGTTTTGAGGGTCACCAAAAGGATCCTGACCTCAAAACTGGTTTGTTTTGAGTCTGTCCCGCTACCAAAAGAACCCATTGCACAGCAAGGATAAATGAGGTTCTGGGGCGTGCGATCCAAAACAGGAGACAGGTTTATCTTTTAGAAAGGTGGGAAACTTCACCCAAAGTGGAATTTTAAAGCCTTTTTATAACACTTTCAGTTTCTTCCCCATCCCCTGGGCGTCAAAACGCAGAAAGAATCAGGCAAAATAACCGGAAGGGAACTTTGCCCGCTTTAATAGAAAGTGTCGAAGAAGGATTTCACAGGAGAAGCGAGCTAAAAAGGAATGTACGAGTATTTATACATTTGGGTGGGTTTACGAGTGTTTTTCTCAAACACAGCACAATAATAATCACAACAAAACACATCAAGGAATGACTCCAAAGCTTGGTTGGATCTCGGTTGGATCTCCAGGAGATTTCATGTTTTCTTCGATTCCTGCACTTTCTCGATCTCCTACGGGAAAGAGAATGGAGAAGTTTAGCCTCTGGAATTCACAGAGCGGATCCAGACCCCAAATACGACGCGGCAGAATTTAATTTGAATTTTACAGATTTATGTCGCTCAAACCTGTGTCCGTGAGGATGGAAAGATTCCTTTTGTTGCCAAATGCAAACTATAGGTTTACAACCGTTCACTGAGTGACCAAAGTTACAACAGCACTAAAAAAAGGGGGGAGTTACGACAGTTTTTCACATTTACAACCATTGCAGCCACACCCCCATGGTCACGTGATCAAAAATTCAGGCGCTGGGCAACTGCCTCATATTTACAACGGTCGCAGTGTCCTGGGGTCACATGACTCACTTTTGCAACCATCTGACAATTATAGCCAGTGAGGAAGCCCAGATTCACTTAATAAATCGTGTCGCTAACTTAAAAACTGCAGCGATCCACGTAACAATTATGGAAAGAAAGGTCGTAAAATGGGGTAAAATTCACTTAACGATTTTTGCTTAGAAATTTTGGGTTTAATTGCGGTTGTAAGTCAAGGATTATGTGTGTTAAACATATTTGTGCAAAATTGCAAAAAAAAAAAAAAATCCAACCCAGAGGGAATGACCTGGATAGCTAAATTGGACATATTGTTGTGAAGCCACTATCATATCCCCATAGAAATGTAGGTGTTCATTTCTCTTTTGTCCTGTTCTTACATGCACCAAGATAAATTCCTTGTGTATCCAATCATACTTGGCCAATAAAGAATTCTATTCTATATATGAAACTAGCTCTATACCCGTGCTTCGCTACGAAATTATGTAATCGGGCTTAGTTTTTGGGGAGGAAAATAAGGAGGAGAAAAATTCTGCCTCTGCCTACTAACATCCATCGGTTTTCGTCTGGCTAGCATCTTGTCAGTATGTGAGAGAGTGGAGGGCTGTTTGGAAACTGAAAGAGTATTTGCTGTGAGCACGGAGACAGCAAGGAGTCTGGGTGTGGCTTACCTCAACTGTTCTGTACTAAAGCTGCTTGGCGCTATGAAACTAAAACTGAAACTCCTCTGCTTGTGTTTTGCATTTGGAACAGATTTCTTTTCAGGTGGGGAGGGGGAGTAGAACTTCTTAGCATTAGAGCATGTTAATAATAGTAATATACGAAATGCTAATGCTCTTATGGTCATTTCAAAAAATCCTTTCTTAGTGAGCCCCTAGAAGCCAAAAGAACATACGTGCCAAATTTCAAGCTTGTAGGCTTTACGGTTCTGGAGATTTTGTGATGACACATGAGGGATATTTTGCTTTCATATATACAGAAGATAAACAATAATAGGTAATTAAAACCCAACCCAGCACCAGACAGGACTTCCCATCCCAGATCCTGTTTTCTTCCAAGCAGCCGTTTTTCTGGCAGTTCCCAAGAAATGCGAGGTTTAATACAGCTATTCATGACCCAGTAAAACAGCTTGCGAATTGAACTAGCGAAACTCGAATTGAACTTGTGAAAGTCCCAGTGACTCACCTCGGCCAGAATGTTTTTCAGTTTCGTATAAGCTTCTTCCAAGTCATCATTGATGATGATCATGTCAAAAAGGCCAGCCTCCTTGCCTAGCAGTAAACCAGAGATTAGAAAGGTTTTAAACGCATCCAGGTTCACATCTTGGAAGGGAAAACCAGGATGAAATAGAACCCAGAAATTACGGGATCTTCATAAATAAGACATTTTCCTCATCATTTCTTGCCTTACAACCACAGCCCTGTGAGGAAGGCCAGACTAAAAAAAAGGGGGGGCTACAGGTAGTCCTTGACTTATGATCACAACTAAGCCAAAAAAAAGGTTGCTAAGCCAGACAGTTTTCCCCATTTTATGACCTTTTCTTGCCATGGTTTTTAAGGGAATCACTGTAGTTATTAAAGTGAGTCACACAGTTGTTAAATAAATCTGGCTTCTGTCCTGATTTTGCTTGTCAGAAGGTTGCAAAAGGCGATCAGGGGACACTCCATACGTCATATAAATACAGGTTCAGTGGTCATGTGTCCGAATTTGGATCACCAGACCATCAGGATGCTGCAACAAAATGGCCATAAGTCACTTTTTTCAGTACTGTTGTAACTTTGAATGGTCACTACATGAATGGTTATAAGTCAAGGACTACCTTCCCTGGGTCTTTTGATTGGCAGAGTTTGAAAACTTAAGATAAGCAGGGATTAACACCAGACAAACCTCACGTGGGGTTGATCCTTCCTGGATTCGATCCCCCCTCCTTCCCTCTCTTCTTGTTTTTTTCATTCCAGAAGGTCATCTCTGCTGACGCTTGGACCGAACCCCCTTCCTCCAACTTGGGGACCAGGAGAGAACCCCGCCAAAAGCCAGCAAATTAACTCACTGAGTTCCATGTCAGTGGCAGCCGCTTGCAGCCGCTTCTGTAAGCTTTCTTCCGTCTCCGTCTGTCTCTCCCTTAACCGTTGCTCCTTTGGAAGAACAAAGAGGAAAAATTAGGGCGTTTCAATTTCTGGGGGGAAAAATTCTCACTGGTATAGATAGAAGGAAGTATGTGGAGGTCTCTGAGCTTGGTGGTTTTCTTGCAGACGTCTCATGATCCAACTAGGTAACATCATCAGTGCTAGAAGGAAGTAAATGGTCTAAAACCAAGGCACCACCCAGAATACTCCCACCAATAATGATAGGGCAAACCCCACTCCCTTCTAGCACTGACGACGTTCCCTAGTTGGGTCATGAGACATCTGCAAGAAAACAACCCAGTTCAAAGAACACCAAAGAGCCACAGTCATAATTGTCATCCTCCTTCTCTCTCTCTATACTCCACAAACCTCACTCCCTTGTAATATTGATGTTATCTAGTTGGGTCATGAAATGTCTACAAGAAAACCACCAAGCTCGGAGAAGGACTACACACACACAGAGGAACCCAGATAAGCATGGATTAACACCAGACAAACACTCTTCAGAAAACAATACCTTTTTTTAGTAAGCTATCATCTCTCTCTCTCTCTCTATGTCTACTGATGGCTGATGTGTCTTGAGTACAAAACCTTCCAGAAATTCCCTCATGTTTTATGGATTTGGCTCGGTCTACGATGCCCAGAGGATGTATTTATGAGACACAGAACTACTGAAGAATCTATTCTACCTATATGTCGGAGAAGAATATAAGACAGGAAAGGTCTTCAAATGGTGCCTTACAAAGGAATAAGGTCCAGCAGAAGGACCATGACTGTGATTTCAAAGTCTGGGTTTTGAGTTACTACCGTCGGTAATTTTGCAAAAACCAGCAACCCCGGAAGGTTAACTTCAACCACAACTACAAACTACGGTAACCCAACCTCTCACCAATATCTCTATGGAGGGGACTTGAACAGAGATGTAAATGGGATTCAGGTCAGTCTTCTTGATGTTCCTCACTCCTTGGAGGTCAATATCTAGGATGCAGATCTGGTTCTGAGCTTGGACAGCCTGGATGGCGGCTTTGCTGTCCAGGAGAAGGAAAAGAGGAGTGGTTACAGTTCTTTTTCTTAAAACCAGTCTATAAAATGTCTCTGAAAAAACGAGCGCAAAGATTTTAAATTTCAATCTAGGTGTCCAGCTAACCAGAAGTGATGAGAAACAGTTAGGACAATAACTGAATAACAGAGTTGGAAGGGACTTTGGAGGTCTTCTAGTCCAACCCCCTGCTTAGGCAGGAAACCCTACACCACTTCAGACAAATGGTTATCCAACATCTTTTTTTAAAAAAACTTCCAGTGTTGGGAGCATTTACAACTTCTGGAGGCAAGTTGTTCCACTGGTTAATTCTCCTGTCAGGAATTCTCCTTAGTTCTAGGTTGCTTCTCTCCTTGATTAATTTCCAACCATTATTTCTTGTCCTGCCTTCAGGTGGCCTGGAGAATAAAGCTGACCTCCCTGTTCTTTCTAGCAGCCCCTCAAATATTGGAAAAATGTGACCCGTAGTCCTTCTTTTCATTAAACTAAGCATACCCAATTCCTGTAACCTTCATATGTTTTAGCCTCCAGACCCCTAATTATTCTTTTGTTGTTCTTCTCTGCACTCTTTCCAGAGTCTCAACCTCTTTTCTTACATCATGGTGAGCAACACTGGACGCAGAATTCCAACTGTGGTCTCACCAAGGCCTTATAAAGTGGTATTAATACTCCATGCAATCTCGATTCTATCCCTCTGTTCACGCAACCTACGATTGTGTTGGCTTTTTTGGCAGCTGCGTCACGCAGCTGGCTCCTATTTAAGTGATAGTTCACGTGGACCCCGAGACCCCTCCTCACAGTTACTACTATTCAGCAAGGTACCACTGCTATACCTGTACATTTGGTATGTAAATACTTCATATTCTAAGAACCTAGTCCTCATGTTCACAAAGACAAGGCTTCACCATTTTTTAAAAAAGCAGCGTATCTCCCGATCCGTTTCAAAGAGGCTACCTCGTTCCGTAAATATTGCCCGAAAACTCCGCGTGCTCCACGAATTCTCCCATGTCGATCTCTTTCTGCATCTCTTCCCTGGTCACAAAGTGGTAATCTAGGGCAAGAAACAAACCAGGTTTCTCACAACTGCCTGCTAGAATACATGCTTGATTTGTTAGGAGAGGTTGCTGGGTTATCTGGCATTCTTAGCGATGGGATCGTGGTTCCCTCGCGCGTTCTCTCACGTTCGAGAACAACTCAAAAGGAACACGAAAAGATTAGAATGCACAGAAAGAAACAATGATTGCTTATTTATGGGTTTGAATTAAATTAACCTACCCTGATTAAACAGGGCTGAACGTGGGAAGATGGGAATTATATACAATTTTAAGAAACGGGGTGCAAGACAATAGGTTTCTTAGTAAAGGAGATTGAAAGTTGTTTCTTTATATATCATTTCTTTTTTTTAAAAAACTCTATTATTGTTCACCACTTTTTTTTCTTTTTCTTTCCCTTGTATGTTTTTGTGTTGATTTCTTACCTAAGTAAAAAGCTCTAATAAAAGTTAATAATACCTATTATGAATTATTAGTACACAATTATCTTTAATAATTCAATTATTAAACTTTTTCAAAAAACAAGAAGACTCAGGATTGGGAAAAGCTGGAATTTGTAGTCTTTCGTGTTTATTTTTTTTACTTCAGTGAAAATTCCTAATAAAAATAGTAATAATTAATACATTGTTAGTTAATAATTACCCTTAATAATTAAACTATTTTAAAAATAAAAGAAGCCTCAGAATTGGGAACAATTGGAATTTGTAGAATTAGGTACTTATTTTTCCCTGAAGTGAAAATTTCTGATAAAAACCCATTTTCATTTTTTCTAATAAAAATAATTATTACTATTAATAAATCAACCATTAGAAAATCATTTTGTTACGAGACAGGAGGCAAGTAAATTTAATAAATAAGCAAATAAATAACAAATTCTTTTAAAAAATTAAAGAAGCCTCAAAATTGGAATTTGAAAAGTATTCCACGTTTATTTTTTTTACTAAAGTGCAAATTCCTAAGTTATTTATTATTTATTTATAAAATTTTATTGGATCTTACCATAAGGTAACTGAGCAGACATAAAAGTACATCTACATTAAAACCAGAATAACTAATTAAATTAACTAATTAAACTTAACTATTTTTAATTCATTTTTTAAAATTATTTTAAAGGAACCCCAAAAGAATCTTCAGAATTGGAGGACTTCCTCCGGAGAATTTCCCGCAACCTACCTCACAAGGCTGTTGTGAAGAAAATTAGGATTCATCTTGAATTTCTGGCCAAAGGTCAAAATTTAAAATTTAACAAAGAGGCAGCTACAAGTAATCCTTAACTTACAACAGTTCTTTTAATGACTATTTAAGGAGCGCAGTGGTTAGGGTGCAGTACTGCAAGCTACTTCTGCTGACTGCCTGCAATTTGGCAGATTGAATCCCACCAGGCTCCAGGTTGACTCAGCCTTACATCCTTCTGAAGTGGGTAAAATGAGGACCCAGATTGTTGGGGGCAAGAGGCTGACTCTGTAAACTGCTTAGAGAGGGCCGGAAGGCACTGTGAAGCGGTATATAAATCTAAGAGCTATTTAAAGTTACATCAGCAAAAAAGTGACTTATGACCAGGGTTCATACTGACAACCGTTGCTGCATCCCTTTGGTCCCGTGATCAAAATTCTGCCGCTTGGCAACAGACTTGTATTTATGACGGTCGCAGTGTCCCGGGGTCACGTGATCCCTCTTGAGTGACTTTCTGACAAGCAAAGTCGATGGGGAAGACAGATTCACAGAACAAAACTAGTACTAATTTGTCAATTGCAGTGACTCACTTAAAAACGGTGGCAAGAAAGGTCATAAAGGAAGGCAAAACTCACTGAACAAATGTCTCACTTAGCAACAGAAATTGTGGGCCCCATTGGTGTTGTAAATTGAGGACTGTCCGTGTTTGTTACCCATGTTACTGGGAATTGTAATTTTTTGCTGCTGGGTTACAGATTGAGGAAAATTCAGTTTATATTTTGTTTTGTTTTTCCTGGACGTGATGATAAAATTCTTGTTTTTTTACCTTTTCCATTGACTTCCCCAGGTCGTGGTTGTCTTGTAGTATCTGAAAGTAGCGAAAAAATAAATAATTTTTGAGGAGAAACACTCTTAAGAGACGTTATGAAGCGGCTGCACCAATGCATTGGGTTTTTTTTCCCTTTCTATTTACATTGACTTAATCGCATCTTCTCTTCACTTTTAAGTTATGCCCTGATTCTATGATGGATACAGGTAGTCCTCAACTTAGGACATAGTGGTTAAATCAATCATGTGGTTGTTAAGTGAATCCGACTTCCCCCGCATTGATTTAGCTTGTCGGAAACAGACTGGGAAGGTTGACAAATGGAAACCATGTGAACTCCGAGACGTTGCAACCGTTGTAAATATATGCCAGCCACATCCAAATTTTGATCACGTGACTGTGAGGGGGTCATAAGTGTGAAAAGAGTCATAAGTCACTTTTTCCAGTGCCGCTGTAAGTTCAAACAGCCATTCAGTGAATGGTTATAAGTTAAGGACTATGACAAGACAAAAGAGGTTAGCAACGGAGGAAAAAGGATGCTGTAGTCCCATGATGGCGAACCTGTGACACGCAGAGCCATTTGTGTGGGCACACGAGCCCCAGCCAGATTTACTGCAATGCGCATGCGTGCGCACCTCCCAGCTGATTTTCGGCCCGTTTGAGGCCTTTTTCACTCTCTCGAGGGAAGACTCTGCAGCCTTTGGAGGCCGAAAAATGGGCCGGTTTCGGCACTTCCGGTATTTCTTTTGCTTTCGGCACACCACAACAAAATGGTTCGCCATCACTGCTATAGTCCTTGACGTACAATCATTTGTTTACTACAGGGGTGTCAAACTCAAGGCCCACGGGCTGGATCCGGCTCAGAGGGTGATTAGATCTTCCACCCTGGAAACAGCGAAGGACCAGCCCGTGGTGCCTCTGCCAGCGAAAACGGAGCTTGTGGGGTGGGGGCATGCATTTTCGCTGGCAGAGAGCTGCAGGAGGCCATCGCGGCCGAAAATAGGGCCTGGCGGGCTGCAGGCACCCGCCTCCGAGCTTCGTTTTCACTGACAGAGAACTGCAAGAGGCCACTGTGGCTGAAAATGGAGCTCTGGAAGCCCGTTTTCACTGGCAGTGTTCAGGCCTCCATAGGTGCCTCCAACACAAGTGAAGTGGGGCTGGCCATTCCCCCGGCCAAACCATCCCCGCAACCTCCAACCGCAATTTGGACTTAAATGTCGTAGCATCGCCGTGGTCATGTGATCAAATTTCAGTGCTTGGCAACTGGCATGTATTTATGACGGTTGCAGAGCCTCTTGAGTCATGAATTCACCATTTGAGGCCTTCCCAGCCAGCTTCCCGCCCAGGGGGAAAACCATATTTGCTTAACGACCATGTGATTCACTTAACGGCTGCAGTGATTCGCTTAACAATCTTGGCAAAAAGAAAAAAGGACGCAAAATCGGGGTCGGCTCACTTAAACACCACCTCGCTTCTGGTCCCAGTTGTGGTCATTAAGGCGAGGACTTCCTGCATTAGTGTCAACAGCAAGGGAGAAAAATGAAACATTATGGGTAGTCCTCAACTTTCAACAGTTCATTTAGTGACCGTTCAAAGTTACAGCGGCATTGAAAAAAGTCACTGATGACCGCTTTTCACACTTAATGACCGTTGCGGCATCCCCGTGATCAAAATTTAGATGCTTGGCAACCGATTCATACTTATGACAGTCACAGTGTCCCAGGGTCACAATTCCCTTTTGCAACCTTCTGACGAGCCAAGTCACTGGGGAAGCCAGATTCACTTAACAACCATTGACTAACTTAACAACTACAGGGATCCACTTAATTGCGGCAAGAAAGCTTGTAAAATGGGGCAGAACTCAATTAATGTTTCACATAGCAACATAAGTTTTGCAGCTCAATTTTGGTCATAAGTTGAGGACTACCTGAATAGGCATGATTGGCATGAGCTAAATTCACAACGTGCTTAATTCATTCATAATCGGGAGATGATCCTAATAGCAGAGCTAAGTAAAGGAATAAAGATGTAACTGAAATTAGGATGATCCAAGCAGCGCCTGGATTTTTAACTGGAACGGTTGCGTATGTCTGGCAGGCACAGCCAGCCACCCGGCCAGCCATTATGCACACTTCCCTTCGCACACCGTCGGTGCAGACAAGGGCATACTTACGGGAGACGCTGAAGCCAAAGACTTTGTCATAATCTTTGAGAAGTTTCTTCAATAAAGTGCTTTTTCCTGCACCTGACGGGCCGCTCAACACCACTGGCCTTGGTCCTTTCATAACTGGAGAAAGAGAAGAGAGAAAAGTGGTTTATAAAGCGAGCAGAGTTGTTAAAATCCTAGGAAAAGAGAGCCAGTTTGATGTAGTGGTTAAGGTGCTAGGTTAAAAAATAGGTGGTGGTGAATTCTAGTCCTGCTTTAGGCATGAAAGCAGCTGGATTACCTTGAGCCAATCATCAGGAGACGGTGAGTTCTAGTCCCACCTTAGTCATGAAAGCTGACTAGGTGACTTTGGGCCAATCACCAGGAGGCGGTGAGTTCTAGTCCCACTTCCGGCATGAAAGCCAGCTGGATGACTGTAGGCCATTCCCTCTCTCTCAACCCAACCTACCTCACATAATTGTTGTGGTGGTGAAAATAGGAGGATGAAAGTGTGTTGGTTATGTTCATTACCTTATTTGTAAACAAATAAAAACAGGAAATAAACAAATGCAATAATAAAAAGTTAAAATAGAACTGATTGAGAGCAGGCACCACCTGGAGAGTTGGAGCAGAGCAGCGATGTTCTATGTGGCTCCTATATTTACGCAAAGGAGTAAATATCTTTAACAACATACTGCCTGATTTATTAGGCAGCCCTACCTTTCTTCCTTTAGTGGAAACCATCCGCTTCGGCTATTGCATATGTGTGGATTCTGCCCATGAAACACTGACCTTCAGGCCGGATGATGATTCTGACCTGGCTCTCAGAACCTTGGATTGATTTTGGAATATTTTTCTACACGCTCCTATTAAAAAGCTAACCATTCAAGCAAGTGACTGTCAAGAGACTCTGCTTGGGTTTGTATGCATTGGCTGTTGTTATCTCTGTGACCTTAAGTAAACTGTGAACTACCGTAGCAACTGTGTGAGTCAGTATTTGAAGGAATGAAAAGATGACCTTTGAAATGGGTGGAGAAACACCAGGTAAAGAGGAAGTTGTTAAAAGCAAATGCAAAATTACACCACCTTGATTCTGCAGAGAGAAATGTTTTAGAAACATCTGCAGCAGGAGAGAGTAACGTGTGTCCACCCTTGAGGCTCTCTTGAAATTATATATATATATA